TAACCTGACTTCTGCGCTTTATAGAGGGGAAACTGAGGCAGAGCTCTGACCCTAGAGCATAGACACCTTGGACCCCAGCCTGTTGCTCTTCCTACCCAGGCCCTTCCATCAACCACACCCTGGTTTTTCCAGGCCCTGTGGGGGAGGAAGAGGCTTTTGGGGTAGTCTGCGGATGGACGCGAACCTTGGCTTCCTGGATGCAGGGTTCACGGTCCTGGCCAGGGCCCTACTCCCCATCCTCTCCCATGTCACTTCTGGTCTGGGTCAGGCAAGGTGGGCAGACCGTATGAAAGGGGAAAAGTAGGTAGCAAAACAGAAGGGGCAGACGATCCATACCCCACTTGTGCTGAGGGCACTTGTGTGCTGAACAGAGCCCCAGGCACCCACCCGGATTTTGTCATTCTCTGTCTTGTCCTCCAAATCCTCATCAAATTCCTTCTGGGGGTAGAACTCAATGCCATTCACTTCGAGCTCCTTTCGAACCTAGGGGCGAGGAAGAGAAGCAAGGTAGCCAAGTGTCAGGATAATGGGGCGGGGGGAGCTGTACACGGGTGTGAGCATGTGTGTGTGCTGAAATCAGAGGGATGGATGCGGCCTTTGGTAATCTGGTCATCTCTGAACTCTGAGGCCCTGAGCAGCAGGAAGATCCTAATAAATGGGAGCCCCAGTCGTACAGCTGCTACAGCCCAGCCTGAGATGAGGAATAGTCTGGGGATGCAGCTTGCTCATCTCAGGATCCAGAAGCTTAGGGTTTAGACAAGCAGCACTACTGAGTATGTGCTCATGCTGCTATGTATCATATTCCAGGTCTGCCCTCTCTCAAAGCTCGACTAAAGTCTCACCTCCTCCAGGAAGCCATCCAGGAACTCCTAGTGGTCTACCTGATTGTAAGTTTCTCAAAGGCAGCAAATGTCTTTACACCTCCCTTGCAGGCCCCCACTTCTATCCCCGTGCATCCAGCACAGGGAGGAGCTTATAGAAGACACTAATAAAGACTGGAGGGCAGATGACTAATTAGTCTGGCCCCTCAAGCAATCTAACATCGAGGAGAGCTTTCTCAAGCCCATGGTGATCTGTGTATTCAGTGGTCTTCACCAGTACATTTGGAGGGTGGGAAGGAGGCAGCCTGAGGTTGTTAACGGCTCTTCACCATTGGTCAGCAGGTATGACCAGCCCAGCCTCTTCAATGGTTAAGTGGGAGCGGGGTGGGAAAGCAGAGATATAATGATCAAGGAGAGGACACAGCTCGGGCCAGAGGAGGGGAAGGAAGGGTGGAGGCAGGAAAAGGAGGAGAGAGGTCTTCTCACCCTTTGCTTGAATTCAGACTTCTCCTCCAGGGTCATGGTGTCAGCCTTAGCAATGACCGGGATGATGTTCACAACTTTGCTGAGGTGCTTCATGAACTCCAGATCGAGAGGTCGCAAGCTGGGGCCCAGAGAAGGCAGGCTGTCAGAGCCACCTTGCCCTCCCCCGGTCCGCCCCGGCCGCCACACCAGGGCCACCCTTGGGACGGAAGGACTAGACGGGGAACCTGGCTGAGGCCAAGGGGCGGCCCCGTCTCCTTCCTGACGCACTCCCAGCGCCTTACCGCCTCTTACCGCCTGTGGGACAGGCTGCGACTCTCTGCTCCCCCTCGGACCACCGTCTCCTTTTCTCTTCAAATCCTGCCCCTCCCGTAGCCCTGCTCAAACTGCTCCTTCAGGGCAGCATTCCTGACGTGGGACTCTTTTTCTCCTGGGAATAGTCGCGGACTGTTGTCTCGGCCTTTATGTCCCTTTAAGTCCTTGTGTCATGGTTACTCGTGTATCTTATTCTCCATATGGGGCAGCACTTTTTTTTTAAGTAATCTCCTTGCACAACGTGGGACTTGAACTCATGACCCCACCACCACCCCGATCGAGAGTCGTGTGCCCCACCGACGGAGCCAGCCGGGCGCCCCAGGACCGCACCTTTTGATGAGCCTTCTCCCAGCCCACACTTAGTCCTGCAGAGACCCAGCTGAGGGCCCAGGCCCTCCCCATCTGAGGGCCCCGCTCCCTCTAGGCTCTGGGGCTCCCATCTGGCTCCAGTTCCCAGTCCGGGCCACTTACTAAGTCAGGCTATCTGCTGGCTTGCTCTGACCTTGGGTCCACATTCTAGGGAGGAATAACGCTGATCTTTTTACTGAGTTCCTAGACCCCACCATCGAACACCTGCTGAGTACCTGGTTCTTCCAAAATTGGGGGCCCACCTTGCTCATGCCGTCCGCTCAGGAACTGAACTCTGGCCCAGCAGTCAGGTGTAGTAATAAGTTATGGAAGGTCACCTGCTTGCTCACCTAGATCTCTCCATCCCACGCTGGCACTCCCTGTTACGCGGCCCCATCTGCCACTCACAACCGACTTCCCTGCACACCTGCTCGTCGCCAGCCTTCATCCCTAGACACGCTGGGCTGCCCACCCATCAAATACCTACAGCTGGGTCCCTACCCCACCAAAACACCCACCTGATCCAGTAGCCCTGCCCTTCCCCGTTTCACTCTTGTTGCTGCCCACCGCCCCACCCCAGCTTTGTGCAAAGCAGGTATCTCCCGAACAGACGAGGAGCCCTCTGCACCCACATACAGGCTCCTCTCTGCTGGTACAGTTGTGCTAGAATGCCAGTGGGCAGCATGGGGACTGGGCTTGGTCAGCTTTCCTCTCCTGGTGAGAGAGTCAGATTGTCTTGGAGACATTGCGGGGGATCACAGGGCCCTGACAACTTTGGGGCCCATGCGGGGGGACTGGCTACCCACGACAGAACGGGCACAGGTGACACGAACCGGAGCGAGGCGCGGCCGTGGGGGAGGGACTGGTACGTACGAGTGCCCCGTGGGGGAGATGAAATAGAGGCAGCAATGGACACGAGTGTCCGGGATGCGTTTCTTCCTGGCGATGTTGACCTCCTCCTTCAGGAACTTCTCATACTGTTCATTGATGTACTTCTCAATGGGCTCCCAGCTGGGGGGGCGGGGGGATGGGAAGAAAGCAGATGGATGTCCCAGAAAGAAAGGCCTGTGGACCATTCTCCCTCAGGCCCTCACGGATGGCTTTCCTTGTTAAGCGAGGCCAAAACTCCCACGGGAACCTAGTCCTCTGAATGGGCCAGATGAATTGCAGCACCCCACCCTACCCCACCCTGGAAAGCGGCACACACTTTGCCCACCTCCATTCCTTATTAGCTAGGAGGCTCTGAGGAAGTCTCTGCCCCTCTCTGAGTACCAGTGGGTTCCTGGAGGGATTACGGATGACAAAGAACGGATGTACGGTACTTAACACAGCAACGGCATATAGAAAGTATTCAACATGGCAACAATGCATCAGCATGACTGTTGTCAATGCCATTGCTACCTTTCTCCTTTAAGGAGCATGCCTATGACCAGAGGAGAGGACAACCGGTCACCTTTCTAAGATTGTTCTAAGTTGTGTGGTTTGGCGGCCCTGCCCACGGGCGGCCGACTCTAGCTCCCTCACAGAGGAACCACGGTCTCCGTCCCTATCTGGGAGCAAATCCCTGCCTGGAACTTTCCATCTACATCCTTGGCGGGACGCTGACGGCCGCGTTGCTCTGTGAATTCCCAGAGGTGCTCTCCTCGTGGAAATTCCCCTCCGTCCTCTCTTCATGCAAGGTTATGACACTGCCCGCAGGCCAAGCTTGGCCACAGCCTTCCTGTGAGCCCCTATTTGTGCCACAGCTCCCCTTGTTCTGTCTGCCCTGCCCTGCTGCCACCTCCAGGCAATCCCACAGCCAAAATTCCCTCTGCACCGGCCCCCTCCTGGGCCTCTTCCCTCGCCTCCTTACAAAGCCCCCGTCGCCCATCCTTTAGCGCGCCTTCCCACTCAGCCCCTCGACATGAAGGGCGCAGCTGGTTCTCAAATGAATGAATCTGCACCATGTTCAGCGTCTTCAGGGCAGAAATCTCACAGGCAGACATATACCAGTTTTCATTGTTGATCTGGTCTCCAAAGCCCGGGGTGTCGATGACGGTCAGCTTCATTTTGACCCCGCCTTCCTCTATCACTGGGGGGTGAACAGAAAAGGCACCAGGGAAGTCACTCGTCGGGCCGATGCCGGCTACCCTGCTGCCTACCAGCCAGGGAGACCCAGGCTCCTTCCTTCCTCGGGACCAATTACTGGAAAAGTCAAGTTCAGGGTCTTCCCAACTTGGCAGCTCTGTTCATGCTGTTCCCCGCACCTAGCATGCCTTCCCTGCTTCTTGCTGCCTGAATCCCACCCGTGCTCTCCCATCCAGCTCAAGCCCCGTTTCTAATCCCCCCCTGTCTTTTCTAGACCAAGGAGTCGGCTCTACTCCGTTCTCTTCTGTCTTGAGATTGCTTTTCTTTTGTCTCATTCCCCCAGTAGGCCCGTCTCTCCCTCTCTGGCAGAGAGCCTTCTGACCAGTGGCCACTGGAGTCCCTGCCTGGTCCTCACCGTGCCCAACAGCTTTGATCTCCACCGTCTTGGGAATCTTTTCCTCCCGGTTCCAGCTGGAGGCCTTTCGGCTCACCTGGGATTTGAAGAGCGTGTTGACCAGCGTTGACTTGCCCAGTCCGCTCTGACCTGCCGCAAGACAGGAGGATGACACGGTGGGGAAGACCCGTGTCCACCTGCTGAGCCTGCCATCTCTCCCACGAGATTACAGAATTCTAGAGCCTCGATCCAGGCCACTTTACCACTCATGGTGGGTGGGGGGCAGAGGACTGAGTGGGAGAGCAAGCAGGTGGGAATGGTTCCCTGGTACCAGAGTGTTGGGTTCCACATTCTCTCCTTCCTGGAGCCCCAGGACCGTTGGGAGAGGGCACAACCTCTGCCTTTGTCTAGTGTAGCGATTTTTTGTTTTGTGCCTGCCGGACTTGAACTTTTAGTCTTTACTAATACTAAACTGAATGACAGAACTACTTTGCCCTCTGCTACTGCTTCAGTGCATCCGACATTTTCACATCTGTTAGCCAAATTTGCCTTTGAATCCCACAGCCCTGGGAATCCCATAGCAGAGCTCTCTTTATCCCCAGCTCAAGTGGTCGTAGAGATTGACTCCCACCTGACATAAAGTATGCGCAAGGTCACAGAACTAATAAATGCAAGACCAGGGCCTTGAACCCAAGGAACCTGGTTCTGTGTCCACTCTACTCTAGTGCTACAGTTAATACCTCATGCAGATAAACGCCCGAGAGGGCACTGAGAGAGGAGGGGGCAGCTGAGCGGGCAGGGCTGGTCTCTCACCTCCACTTCCCTCATGAGTGCGCCCTTTTGACCCGTCTTTTTCTTTTTTTGTATTGTATTTTTTTTTTTTTTTAAGTAGGCTCCTCTCCAAACATAGGGCTTGAACTTAGGACCCGGAGATCAAGAGTCACATGCTCTACCGACTGAGCCAGACGAGCGCCCCATTTTGAACTGTTTTATACAGGTCTACAGAATCTACAGAAGATTTCATTCCGAGGAGGAGTTCTGCAGCTAAAAGGCACTTGAAAACCACCGGCCCGAGCCATGCTTCTCAAACTTGTACCCGCATGAGGATTGCTCAAGCAGGCCCCACAACTGCTCAATGGCATCAATGTCACCTGGACCCTTGTAAGGAAATGCAAGATCCCAGGCCCTGCCTCAGCCCTATGATTCAGAATCTGCACTTTGACAGGACTCCCAGATGAATCACATGCACAGTAAAGTCAGAAGTTCTGGGCTAGAACATTCCTGTGGTATATTAGTGGGAGGACGAGGGCCTAAGGCTCCAGACCCAGCAGTGCTATCTCCCTGAACACCTGGGACTAGCCATGTTTTTGCTCCTCTAGTTTTTTTTACTGACAACTGATGGCAAGGGAGGGAACTGGATGAGACCAGGGATAGCAGACAAGGTGCATGTCTCATTCCAAATGATCAATCAGTAGTAGCCACCTAGGCCAATATGTTAAAAAGGCCACCTGTGGGCTCAGTCCCAGATGTGAGCCGTGACTGACCAGCAATATCGCTCCCTGTGGTGCTCCTGGGGAGAGAAGAAGCCTGCACAGCTTCTACTTGCTGTTCCTGGTCTGGCTATTTTCTGAGGTCATTTGCTCACTAAGTACCCTTGAATGCCAAGTGCTGTCCTAGAATTGGAGGTAGAGAGGCAAACAAGACATCACCTTTGCCCTCAAGAAGCCATTTAGTGTGAGGAAGACCAAAACACAAGCAGGCAGTTATGATATGTTGCCATAATCGCCATGAAAGAGGGAACCACAGGGTATTACGGCAGCAAACTGAAGTGAATGTAATCCAGTCTCTCTGGAATCAAAGAGGACTTCTAGGAAGAAACAACAACTAAGCTGAAACCTGCAGAGAAACTCTGAAAGACCCCTAAGAAGCTGGAATGGGGTTCTAGACAGAGGGAATGGCAGAGTCAAAGTCTCAGAGGCTGAAAAGAGCACAGCGAGTCCAGGGGAACTTACCACTGAGGAGTAGAATGCACCATGGTTAGTGGTAAGAGGTGAGTGGAGAGAGAGTACCAGGCCAGGCTAGGAACTTAAGCCCTTAAATCTACTGAAGGGTTTAAGTAGGATGGGTGACCTGATGAGTTCTGCAGGTTGGGAAAATTATTCAGTCACTGGTGAATAATGGTTTGAAACAGAAAGAAGACAGAGGACTGAGAGGGTCAATGCCACTCACAGGGTGGCCTGGGGCCATGGTCCTTGAACCATTTGCTACTCGTTCTTGAGATAAGAAATTTGCACCGGAAAGTAAGTTGACCACAACACTAAACACACTAGTTCAGCAGATTTTTTTTTTACAGCAAGACTTTCTAGATGATTTAAACTCCAGTCAGCTCCTAATCTTTGAGTAGCACTGAGTCAGGGGGCTGTGGCAATCCAGGTGGGAGCCCTAGCTTAGCTGAGAGTGGTCACAGTGGAGATGGAAAGAAGTGGGCAGACTTCAGAGAGATTTACAAGGGAAAACTGACAGGTCTTGATGGTTGATTGAATTGGGGAATAAGGGAGAAAGAAAGAAGATGCCCAGGTCCCTGTTTCAGCAACTGAGTGAATATCTCACTAATATCAGGCAAAGGTCCCTTCCTGCTCTTACATGCTGTAACATGGCAACACTACTTAGTGACCAATCAATGTCCTGCAAATTCTCTTTAAGCTTTCAAGCACTACAGAAGATCACAAGAAGACCACCCTCCCTCTGATACCAGTGGAGAAAGACACAGATGATTTCCCCACGCCACACACCTAAAAACTGGCTGAGCAGGGCTAAGAGGCTACCTGTGTCCACCCCACTGGTGTTGGGGCCAGGCTGACCATCCACCCAGAGTTCCCACCCCTGCATCAGCTAGTCTTCAGGAGAGAAGAGAATCAGGCTTTTGTGATCCACATAGTGAAATCTTTCCTCCTGGAAAGAGCTCATCCTAGGGAAAGCAGGGCTGAGGCCCATCCTAGGGAAAGAAACAGGATCCTCGGTTCTGTCCACCAGCATGGCTTCCAGTGACCCCATGGCCTTCCCTACCGACCACCATGATGTTGAAGTCGAAACCAGTCTTCATGGTCTTCTTGCGCATCTGCTCAATGATGGTGTCAATGCCGATGTAGCCCAGCAGGTTTGAGTTGATGCTGACGGGTTTCATGGGCACTGCCGGCTTAGGCCTGGGCTCAGGCACCAGCTCTGACATGGCTGCGTCCGTCCTGGCCTCTGGGAGCCCTGCAAAGCCAAGGTGGGAGAGGTGGGCTGGAGGAAAACAGAAGTCACGTGGAAGCCACAGTATTATTCTCTTGATACAGAATCACACAGAGTTGGGACTAGAAGGGACCTCAGGTGTCATCCAGTATGGGTCCCTCATTTCACAGATGGAGAGACTGAGGCCTGTGGGGGAAGGACTTCCCCAAAACACAGAGCAAGTCAGATGCCAGATCGGGATCAGTGCCCAGCCTCTCCAGCTGCTGGGGTGCTTTCTGGTGCACTCACCGCTCCAAAGCACATCTGTGTGTCTAATCCAAGGACTTATCCACCTTGGCCCTGTTGAGATTTGGGTCTGGATAATTATTGGAGGGGGGGTGTCCTGTGCACTGTAGGATGTTCAGTGGCCCCCCTGACCTCTACTAGATGCCAGTTGTGACAACCAAAAATATCTCTAGACAGTGCCCTGGGGGCAGCATAACCCTATGGAGAACCACTGATCTAAGAGATGTCTGGGGTTATTCTGACCTGAGTTCTGCCTCCTCAAAGAAAGGGCTAAGACCTTTTAGGATACTGGACTTAACATCTATTGACTGTCACTGACCTCAGTTGCTTTGTTTTTTAGAAGCAAATAGAGCTACCCCTCACACTGCAGGAGCATCATTCCTGCCCCCAGCCTCAGTGTCCCTCTTTTCCATGAGCACCACTACAAAGTAGGAGTGTCTATGCCTTGAGGATCCCCAGGCACCATCCTAGCCATAGTTTTAAATCTGTGGGAGGAATTAGTCTCTCCTTCTGACCAGACCAGTGCGGAGGGGATGAGACGCAATTGCACTGGGGCAGCCACTTGCCTAAGATGACATAGTGTGTTCTTGGGATGGGGGGTGGCAAAAGAAAGGGGGGGGCTAAGGTCAGAGCCTTTCCCTACTAGGTCTGGCAGATCACAGGCATGTTCACACACAAAGGAAATCTGTGCGTTTCCTCATGGGGCCAACGTCCCCCAGGGCAGGTTTCAGTATAGAGCAACTCCATTTTCCCATCCATAAAATGGGTGTGCGTGTGGTGAAGTGGAAGGAGCCTGGCCCTGCTGCTTCCTGAATGTGGGGACTTGGGCTCACCCCTGTGAGCCTACTTCCTCACCTGTAAACTGGCTATAGGAGCACGATTAAGGCTGTGGTAAGCATCACATGAGCTATGATGCCTGGAAGCACCCGGCATACCCCTCACATTTCCAGACTCTCTTGCCCCCACACCCCTGTCAAGTTCACCAGCTTGTCCGGAGGGCAAATGAGGCGGGGCGTGTGCAAGCGATGCTAATTACAGAGCAGAGTTATTGGACTCAACGCTCTCTCAAGGACCCCTTCCAGCTTTGCCGTTCTGGAATCCTGTGGTTCCTGCAGAGTGTCAGGCTCCCAGGGAGAATTGATGGAGCAGCAGATGGGCAAGAGGGGGAGGGGACAGGAGTGTCTCCCTCCCCCACCCCCAGACTCAGCCAGGAGTCTGTTCTTGTACCGCCACCACCTGGTCCTGCCACCGGTCCTGGCAAGACTCTCTCTCCTGATGGGAAACTGTTCTTTCCTTGTCACTCCCAGGCAAAGCCAAATCGGACGAAGCCTCGGGACCTCCCCAGGGCCTGGCGTGCCTCCCTCCTGCTTCCCAGGAAGCTGTTGCCAGCCAGCCGGCTCAAGGCGGCTGCAAGATTGGCTAGGGGGGCCCTGCAGCAGCTGACTCTCACAGCCTGGCCTGCTCCTCCACTCTCTGCACGTGGCTCCCGGGCCCCACTCAGCCCACCTGCACCGGGGGCCATGCCCCATTTTCCCTGCCCAGCTGCTGCCACAGCTGGCCCAGGCCACTTCCCTCATGCCTCACAGTCACGCCTGCTTGTTCTCACAAACCATGTTGTGAGATAGATCCACGGGAGTGGGGGGTGTCATATACTATTTTACAGACTTGGAAAGTGAGTCTTGTATTTATTTTCGGGAGATTTTGTTGGTATCCTTATAATGGGTGTGCCCTCACTATGGCCAGCTCAGCTCTAGCCCATCGATAGCTGCATCCTCAAAGAGCGTTCCCAAAAGACAGACACTGGTTGCAAGAAGGGGGCTGCCCACTAGATTCCCAGGCAACTTCTAGGACCAGCAAGCACCTCCTAGCACCCATGCACATACTGCGTGGAGCATCTACCGGCAAGTCACCTCTCCCAACCCTATGCCAATTGCATGCCAGCCACATGCTAACAGCAACCACCCGTCAGCCATGAGCACTGCAAACGTGCAGCAGGTCACTATGTCATGACCTCTGCTGGACGACCCTTGCCCACTCCAGCCCCTGGCTGACCCCTACTCCTCCTTCACCATTCAGCTCAAGGCCTACCTCTAGAAAAGCCTCTGCTTTCCCACCTGATATGAGCCCCTCTTCTTAGTACCTTGTTCGCATCACGTTCATTTCTTCGCTCCATTCTTTCCAGGACATTTCATGTGCTGCCAAATCTCGGAAGCCCACTCCAGCCAACGCGCTAGACTTGATGCCAAAGATACTTTTGGACCCCAAACAAGGTCCTCGCCCCCAAGGTCCACTGTGTGGTGAGGGTGACTGACAAGTACATAACAATTTCCAGGGCACAGGACGATGCTGCTCTGGAGTGGAATTCTGTAGCTCTGTCCCCTGCCCAGACAGCAACCCTGTTCCTACCCTGCCAACCCCAGATGGGCAGCTGGCCCAGGCTTAACTCCCAGCTGGATGACCCCTGTGAGCCTCAGTTTTCTCCTCAGGAAAATGGGCACAGTACCTACGTTGCTGGGTTGCTGTGAAGGTTATACAAAAGCATGGAGATAAATTACCTGGCACTGAACGTATGCCCATCCTTCTTCAGGGAAGGGGCCATGTCTCATTGATCTCTGTGCCCCATTGAACCTAGCATAACACAGGCACTCAGCAATGGATGGATGGATGATAGATGGACAGACGCCTCGCAGGGGGGCAGATGTCAATGGATGGATGGATGGATGGATGGACGGAAGGACACCTCGCACAGAGGCAGATGTCACTTTAGAACCATCACCTTTCTTCTCCCTCACGGGCTGCTCCCTTTGCAGAGCAGCTGACCCCCACCCAGCAAATGGCTCATGTGTAGGCCACAGTCAAGGGAGCAGACTCTGTTAAGACAGACCCTCTCCCTCCCTGCAACAGGGATGGGATGGGGGTTCCCTAAGGGTGGGAAGAGCTAAGGATGAAGGTCAGAGCAGGATATAGCTCAAGTGCCATCCTGCCTAGATGGTCCTTTGGGGTCCTCCTAAGCTCCCAGCTCTCCCAGGGTTTCTAGAGAGGAGGGGGATCTGTCAGCCACACCCCCTACCAGGGGCCACCTGCCCCATCAACGCTCTAGGGAGAGGCAATGTCCACCTGCCTCAGCTCTAGCTGAATCCCCCACAGAAACAGCATCCCCCTCCCTGTGCCAAGCAAGGACCCCAGTGCTTTCTTTTACACAGGCAAATGAATGGCTTTGTCTTTGTTTGGCCCAGGGACCCCACCCCTCCGTTGGGAAGGTGGCAGCAGGGGGAGGGGATCTTTCCAGAAGAGCACCTGCCTCCTTGGCTCAGTGAGGGGTAGGGGTGGGAGGGGTCTCTTCCTCCCTCCCAGCGCTGGAGATCGTCCCCTGCTCCCAGCCCTAGCAGCCTTCAAGACTCCGCCCCCACCCGCAGAGGCAATTCCAGACCACCGCAGCTCCAGCCCCGTTCCCAGAAAACGAATCACAGAAGACATCTCGGTCCTTTCCTATTCACAGTTGCAAAGGGCCCTGGGACACCCCCTTCCCCCATCCCAGTCCTCTGGAGGCCAATGAGTTCCCTTGGAGACCACCAGCTGGTGCCTGTCTCAGTGTGCGCCTGTGTGGGGGGGAAGGGGCCTATGTGTCAGCGCACAGGTCTCTTATCTGGCTGTAGGTGGCCCTGATACCTGTGCGTGGTGTGCATGTGTGTGCGTGTCTTGGTGTGCTCTAGCGTGGGGCTTCCTGTGCGCATCTGGGTCCCTGCCTGTATGTCCGTGGGCCTCTGGAACTCCCCGCGATCCCGTGTGTGCATTTCTCCCGGCATGTGTATCTTGGGGTGTGTGCGTGTGTCCGTGCATATGTCACCGCGCGTGGGCTCCTCGGCGCAGCAACCCTCCCTCTGGTTAGCACCTCCGGCCGGGCTTTTCGGGGCCGCATCCTCCTCCCAGCGGGCGCCGGTGGCCCGGCCAGCCGCCCTACCTTTGGACATGAATCCTCCTTTGTCTCTGTTCCTCCGGGGAGATGCTCAGGGCGTGGGGCTGCAAGGCGGAGCCGGGCGCGGGCTCCTTCTGGGCAGAGCGGCCCCTGTAGCCGGGCCTCGCCCCTCCGCGCTCTCCGCCCACCCGCCCGGCCCGCGGCCCGGCCGCGCCGCCCCTGCGCCCCGCGCCGCCGCGCCCGCCCGGGACCTCGCTTCGGCTTGCTCGGCGCCGCTGCCCCTGCCCGCGCGCACAGATGCCGCCGCCGCCGCCGCTGCCACCCGCACCACGTGACCCGCGCGCCTGCCGGCCCCGCCGAGGGCCCCTCCCCCTCCCACGGCGCCCGCGCCCGCACCCGCTCTCCGCCCGCCCGCACGCGGGAGCGGGTACCCGGTCCCGGCTGCAGGCGGCCCGGGAGGCGCGCGGGGGCGCTGTGCCTGCAGCTCGGGATGCCGGGCCGGGGGGGGGGGGGCGGGGTAGGGAGGTGCCCGCATCCCAGTCTCGATCCCTGCCCGCCCCCCCATCCCACTCCCCGCCTCTTACCCTTCAAGCCTGGGCGGGGCGGGGGGCGCCGGGGACCGATGGCAGCCGCTAGTGCGGTGCGCGCGCGAGTCACGCGGTGGTGGGGATGTTGAGCGGGCTCAGCGGGCTTCTGCCCAGGCGCGGGTGCCTGCGGAGCCCTGAGTCAGGGGCCCGCGTTCCAGGCCTGGCTTCTGGAGGATGAGCCCTATGACCTTGAGCTGATCAGGAACTTTCCTGAGCCTCAATTTACCCGTCAGAAAAAACGTTCATGCATTCAGTCAACATTAATGGACAGTGCATTGCCAGGCCCTGGGGGCACAGGGATGGGGATGACCACTCTAGGCCTTGTGGGGGAGACAGCTGGACCGTCCTAATGTAGGGGACTGGGGTGTGCATAGGGTACTCGAGTGCTGAGGGGTGGGCATCCTGGGGAGAGAGGGATTTGGGAAGAGTTCACGGGGAAGCTGAGGGCCAAGACGGAAAGGCAGATGGTGGTGGGAGGGAAGAGGGGAAGGGCGCTCTGTGGACAGGGGCAGCAGAGGTGAGCAGACCCAGACGGGAGAGCCCCATGGTGCTGGTGGACAACTCATAGCTCCTGATGCAGCAGCAGCAGCAGCAGAGAAAATTCCAGATGGAAATATAGAGCTAGAGGCTGGAGAAGATCAAAGTCTTGAAAGCTGGGCTAAGGAGCTGGACTTTGAGGGAAGCCAGTGGTGAGTCACCAGTGACTGTTAGCAGAAAGTGCCACCATCAAATATGTGAGTCCCTGTGGCAGCTGCGTGGAGGACAGAGAGCCCCCATCCCGGGAGTGGGGGGGGAGGGGGGGGCTGTGGCATGGCAAGGGCAGAGGGTCAAAGAGGAGGGCACAGCCAGCCAAGTGCTGAGGGGGTAGATCAACAGAGTTGGAAATAGACTGGTTGGGATGAAAGAGAGTGAAAGACGAGGAAAAGGAAGAAACCCAGGTTTCTCCGAGACCGAATGAACTTCTAGTCCTTACGTTGACTTATTTATAGTTCTATATAGGACTTCTATACATACAAGTCTCCAACTTACCTTTCAGGACTAAAGGGCCGGGGGTGGGGAACTAAGGAAGAGCAGATCAGGTGGGGCACCTTTCAAGTAACAGATATCCTCCCAAAAGGCTGAATGTGCATGATTTAGAAGGTCTCGGGTGAGGCCGCTACGCATATCTAGAGAAGCACCATAGTGATGGCTGTTGGACAAATCACCACTTACTGACGTGCTGGTCTGTATTTTCATGCAGGTGGTTTGCTTTTAAAGCTGGACCCACCTGTAGATCACCTGATTACTCCAGCTCTTCAGGGACCAAAGAACCAACCATGGAAGATGCTAAAGGAAGGACTCCGCATAATTGCTCCTCCACAAGTCACCCCTGGAAACTTTCCTTCTGGTGACTTCCCTCAACCCCACCTCTGACTGGCAGGTTGGGACCCAACTCAGGGTACGTCCCCTGTGCCCTGCCCCTCAATTTTATTCCCTTTTCCCTCAGCACATTCACTTCTGACCTTACAGTCCTGCCTCCCTTGCCCAACCTATTCATCTCCAGGCCAATACACCCTGGCCCCCCACAGCAGCCCAGTACATCCCCAGCCAAGCTCTTTGCATTTACCTTTGGTTTCTCTGGCTCGGTCCAGCATGCGGGGCTCTGCGGGCCAGTCTGTGGCAGCATCTGTAAGAGCATGGTCCCACGCTGGGGCTGTGCTTCCGCTTGGCATCAGTGGGTACGTGGCTGATATGGTCAGGTTAATGACTCTGTCCAGTGTGATCTCCCCCATGGCTGTGCCCAGCTTGCTTGTGTCCAAAGCCACAGAATCTGTAGTTCTGTCCAGCTTGGCTGTATTTGCTCTAGCCAAAGCCCTGGCTGTGTCTCTCCTGGCTGGGCCCAGCTTGACTGGGTCTGGTACCACCAAGTCCACGGCTGTAACCTCTGTGGTCAGACCTGACTTGGCTGGGCCTCCTGTAGCTGTGGCTCTGCCCAGCTTGTCTGGCTCCGGGGTTGCCAAATCCATGACCACGCCCGGCTTGGTTGGGCCTGCTGTAGCAAAGTCCATGGCTGTGTCCAGCTTGGTACCTAGAGCAGGCAACTCTATGCCTGTATCCAGTCTGGATGTGCTTGGTGTGGCCGGATGGGCAGTCAAGTTAGGTCTGTTCGTGACCATTGTGGTTAAACGTCTGGCTGTGCCTAGCCTGGTTGTGTCCAGAGGAGCCAAAGCCATGGCTGTCGCAGGACCCATGGTAGAAGTGTCCCTTTGGAGATTCAGCCGGGGTCTCGGGATACCCCTGGACCGGGGCTTGCTTCTTCCTGGAGAAGCTCTGGTAGTCACATGGGCGGTCCCTGGGACAGAATGCTTCTGACCTACCGAGCCTGGCCCTGCAGGGCCTGGTGATTTCCGGGCTAACCGGGATTGAAACGGTAGGGCCAGGTAGGAACTCACCAGAGGCTTCTCCACTATGGGCATCCTGCTGGGTTTGGACAGACCTGGGTTCCCTGGACCCTCAGAGTGGACTCTGCTCCCCGGCACTAGAGTCACCGATTGTGAGCCTGGGCTGGGCAGCCCACCTCCTCCATGGGTGGCAGCCTCCTTGCCCGGGGTGGGCAGCTCTTCCCAGTGAGAAGGTAGGGGACCCAGGGGCCATGCCTGGCTGTTCTGACGGAGCGTTAAGGAGATGGAGCTGAGCTTCCGGGGCACGGTCTCCTGTAGGGGCACACCCCGGGCCCTGGCTCCAGGGCCTGGTCTGCTGGAAGCCTGTGGGATATGGCTTTGAGGAAAGGCATCCAGACGGATGGTTTTCCTGAGGACAGGGATGAGGGGAGACACCCCTCCAGGGAGCTTTGAGGGGCGGGCAGGGTGCCCCAGCAGGTAGCTGTGGGAGAGGGAGGCTCCAGGGCTCGGGGCTCCATGCTGCTGCCTCTCAAAATTGTGATCCATCCAGGTCTTCCGTCTTCCCCTGAGGCAATCAACAGAGAGAAGGGGCCAAGCGGGGGTGAGGTGCTCAGCTTGCATTGCTTTGATTCCTAGTTAATAAAGAGCATGAAAACCTCTTTGCCAAGTAGCAAATTAATTTTTAGTTGTCAGTGTTTAACAGGGTCTTATAAAACAAAACAGTATTTTAAAATGCAAAATATTTAACTCCTATGAAATGTTACGGAGTAGTTGTCCATTAAAGCATGATCTATCATTTTAATGTTATGCAGTCAGTAAGATAGAAAATAGTTTTAAAAATTGTTCACTTTATAATTGAAATGGAAAAAAATAGCTAAATATATATATATAAAGCTTAATTTCTAAATATACTTTTTCTAACAGTGAGAAAACAGAAATATATTGCAAGAAATATATTTATAAGAAAACTTGTAATATATCAAGATATAAAATTGTGGGATCCTCAATGGCTTGAGCTTTATCCTAGTTATCAAAAACACAAATGCCTAGAAGTCAGGGGTGCCTGGCTGGCTCAGTCGGTAGAACATGCAACTCTTGATCTTAGAGTTTCAAGTTCAAATCCCCCATTAGGCATGAGAGTTACTTAAAAAAAAAAAAAAAAAAAAGCACTGCCAGGTCTGAAGGCGCCTTGTTCAGGGACCCCTGCAGGAGGGCAGTGGTTATTGGAAGGCTGTCTGCCTCTGTCTTTTCCAGAAGGTGCTAGAGGGCTCTGGGTTCCCACCCACAGCAGCCAAAATAGGAGCTCAGGCATCCAGGTGGGAGGCCAAGGGATGACCAGTTTGGCTTGGAAACAGCGTCTGCCTCTGGGGCTTCTGCCCAGAACCAGGAAAGAGCCCTGGGCTGGCCGGCTGCTGGAGTCAGAATTAGCTGGAGCTGAAGAGGCCGAGGTGAAGGGAAGGCTCGGGAAGAGAGGTAACAAGGGCTCGCGGTGAACAAGCCACAGTCCCTGCCCCTGGGGAACCTGCCATCTCCAGTGGTGCCAGGCGGTGAAGCAGGTACGGCTAAGCCGGACGTGGGGGTGGCCGCAGAGGAGGACGGCTGGACCAGAGGCTGGGGCAGTTCCCTCAGAAGGCCCAAAGGTGAGGGCGTGGTATCTTCCTGAAAATCAACTGCGGGACTCCTAGGCTGAATGGGGGGTGGGGGTGGGGCGGCGTAAGGCCACAGGTGCAGTGATCAGGCCCAGGCCAGGCCACAATGATGCTCGACCCTGGAAGATGACCTGCTCAGATCTGCTGGTGGGAACAGTCACTCCCGTCCCGTGTGACAGAGGGATCAGTGGGAAACAGAAGTGGAGGTAAGGAGAGGGGCAGGGCCACCATTGAAACTCCATGGCTGGGGGTGGAGCTGGAGAAGGCTGCCCAGCACAGCGGTAGAAGCAACAGACCACCTGGGAGGTGGGGAGAGGTGGGGGTCAAGGGCTCTGGCTGGTAGTCTGTGAGGATGAGCCATCCCCCAAGGTGGGCTCCAAGGCCCCCGGATGGCCAGCTGGTTCACACTCTGGGCTCCATATAATTTACCCGCTGGGCCGAAATTGTTCGTGTTGCTTTCAACACAGCAGGCTGGGCAGGCCGGGGCTGGTAGGAAGGGTTCTCGGGAGAGGGCCTGACCCTAAAGCCAGGTCCCTAAGGTCTGGAGCAAGGGGTCTTCACGGTGACACCTCAGCCCCTCTCCAGCCACACGTTTGTACCCAAGACTGTGCCAGCCTGCATCACCCCCCACTTAGCATATCCCTACAGCCCTACTCTCCTGGCCTTATTCACAACCATGGACACCTGGGCGCATGCAGGTTTACCCTGGCACTTAGCCACAAACATCTACCCTCAGTGTGCACGCCCACCCAGAGAGAGCAAGCCTGAGGATAGGATCTCTGAGATACACTGGTTCCCATGTCACCAGACCCCATTCCCTCACTGAGCCTATACTCCTGTCATCTATCCCTGGTCCTATCACACACACACACACACACACACACACACACAAATCCCCACCTACCTTGATCAGAGAACAAGAAAAGTCCAGTGCTCCTCAGTCTGGGAAGCCCTCCTCTGTGCCCAGAGGGCCACTGTGACCAGCTCAGGGCCTTCTTCCCTCTGGTCCCCTCGTGGGCCTCCACTCAGCCTCCAGGCCATCGTCCCCAGGCCTAGGGCCCAGCCCTCTCCTGACCTGTCCCACCAGCTACATCCCCAGCTGGGCCGGGCTCTGGGGCAGGGAGGGGCTGGCTTCTCAGCAGTGGGCGTCCATGAATGGCTGCTCTGAGCCTCTGGAATCCCGAAGGGCCTGGGGAGGCTCCTAATGGCCAGGCTGGGCTGCCCTGGACTCAAGGCCACCTTGGGGGTAAAGCGGTGCCCTGCTGCCTGCCCTCCCCAAATCTACTCTGTCTCCCACAGACTCTGACCCCTGAGAGATGTCTCCAGTAAGATTAAGGGTACTCCAAATACAGCCACGCTCTGGTGGTCCAGGCACCACCCTCATTTCCCTCGGCATTGCCCCCTCACCCTGTTTAGCTCTGTGATTCTTAGCCATCTTGTCCACCCACCTGAGGTCTTGTAGGGGGCAAGCTGGAGTCCCTGGAAGCTGCTTCAACAACGATTCCCTGAGCCCCTCCTCACTCAAGCTGGACCCAGGTCCTGAGGACGTGAAGATGACCCAGCCCTGAGGCCAGGAGACCCATCCTGTGGGCTGGGTGTCCTCCTCTGCCTTGTCACTGCAATAGTAATAACAACCGTGCTAATCATAGCTGCCATTTACGGGACACTTACTATATGTCAGACACCGCGCAGGGGCTGGGAAGGAGCTCAGAGGCTGCTCAGGAAGATGGGTATGTGAACAGGTCCTTACAGTAATATGGCAGCGACAGTACAGGACATCCTTCGAGCATCCCTCGGAGCCAGGAACTAGGCTAAACCCACTCTCGGCATCTTCTGTGGTCTTCGCCTTGTCACCTGCTTTTGACTGATGAGCACACTGCAGCCCACACCACGCTGTGTGGTCTGGTCGATTTTCTCGGGGATTGCTCTCCTTAGTGAGTGAGCTTCTGGAGCCGTGCTGGCCAATAGAACATTCTACGATAATGGAAATGTTCTATATCTGTGCCATCCAATGTGACAGCCACTAGCCACGGGGGTGCTTATTTTCTCTGGGTCCTAGGCCCTGGCAAGCATCAGCCTCATAAGTTTCTGTTAGACTGAATGAATGAATGAATGGATGGATGGATGGATGGATGGATGAGTGATGAATGAAATGATTGAGTGAATGGTGACCATGTGGACCTCCGACCTTCTCTTCTTCATCCATGCTCTCCCTTTTTGACCTTTAAGTTTTCAAACTTGGCTGCGCTCTCGTTACCGGGGCAACACCTGCTGGAAGCCCCCTGGGTCGGGGAGGGGAGCCATCTGGAGTTCCTCCCCCTTCCCTTCTTGCTCCGAGGACCAGCGCAGTTGGAGGAAGAATACAGGAGGCTGGGGGAGGGGACAGCACTGGTCTGCCCGGACAGATTGGGTAGGGGGAGACTTTACTGGTCACCCCCACTGGATTGCATCATCTCTGAGATGAGGAAGCCCTGAGCAGGAGTCAGGAGTCCTGGATTCTCTCTCCCACTTTGGCAAACGAGTCATTATACAGCTTCTATCAGATCACTTGCCCTTCTGGGCCTCAGTTGCCTTTGCAATAGGTCCCTGGTGCCTTCACTTGGGCTCTTCTAGCTTAAAGATCTAGATAGAATTCCTCCATCTGGCTCCCTGCCAGGCTGTTAAGGACTTGAGAGTCAGGCATGAGTCTGGTTCATGTCTGTATCCCCCAGGCCCATCTGCCCTGCTCTGTCCTCCAGGGTTGGGGGAGCCTGGAAGACCCTGCCTGCCCAGTAATTACAGCCTGGGCTCAGCTGCCCTCTAGTGGTCCAAAGTGTCAATGACCTCATGTCTGCAGGGCTGTTCTTTCTCCACAAAGGAACGATCCACAGGCCTGCAAGTAGCCTCAGAGAACAGACTTTGACCCAAGCAAAAAAAAATCACTGGGGTGGCCTCCCAGACAGGTGGCGCAGGCTCTAGAATCTCCATCTTGGGTTTGTTACAACTGTGTAATTTTGAACAGGTCACCAGGTCTCCGAGCTCCAGTTTCTTCACCTGTAAAAATGGGAGTTATATCAGTCAGGATGGGTTAAATTATACTGCAATAACAATTCCAAAATCCCAGCGGCTTAGAACAACAAAGATTTACTTCTCCTTCATTTCTCAGGTCCACTGTAGTTTGGATCCATGGAGGCTCTGCTCCGTGTCATCTTCAGTCTGGGACCCAGGCTCATGGGGCAGCCACCACCTGGAGCCTTGCAGGTCATTGCGGCAGAGGGAAGGAGGGAGTGGTGAAGTGTGCACTAGCTATAAAATGCTTTGGCTGGGACTCACTTCTTTTTTTTTTTTTTAAGCAGGGCCCAACTCGGGGCCCAAACTCATGACCCTGAGATCAAGACCTGAACCGAGATCGAGAGTCGGACGCTTAACCGCCTGAGCCACCCAGACACCCCTGGCCTGCACTCAATTCTGATCACAGCTCACTGGCAAGAATTAGTCACATGGCCCCACCCACACAAGGAGGTAGGGAACTTAACCCTCCTGGGTGTGAGAGCTGAAGAGCCAGATAGTTGATGAACAGGACTGATGACCCACTTGTGTGGCTGTAGAAATACAGTGAGAAGTGCAATGAACTCAATCCATGCTAGCCATTAAAACTGTTGCCTTGTCATGCTGGTTCCCTTTTTTCTTTGCCCTCATGATTTCCTGTGACTTCCGCCTCAGCTCCACCTGTTTCCAGCTGCAGATAAGAGGGAAGCGAACTTGCCAAGATTCACACAATGAACCCATGGCTGGGCATCCAGGTGTCCAAATTCTGAGCCCCTCCTACTGTAGGGGGCGGAGGAGAAGGGGCTTTGCCCACCGAGGTTCTCTAAGAGGGTTGATTGACACTGTGATGGTCTTTTGAGGGAGCCTGAAGCCTCTGCCCTCCTCCCAAAGCTGGTCTCTGGCCTTTCCAAGCCCTTCCTGCCCCGCCAGAGTGGAGAGCCGAGGGGGTGGAACAATGAGAAGCCTGTGCCGCCCCCTGGGGCCAGAGTCCGAACATTGCAACCATTCCTACGCAGGGACCCTGCACATTCCCGCCTCCTGTCCTGTTCTGGGCCTGGCCCAGACACACCCACTACATCCTGACAGCTCCCAGATGGTGGGAAAGGAAAGCTCTCGGGACTCCGCAAAACATCCCAAAGCATTTAAAAACCTGCACAACAGTCCCCCTGCCCCCCCCCGGCCCCCAGGAAGCCTCTAAGCCTTTCTAAAATCTTAGTATCTAAGCAGATGGGTGGCTCCTGGCAAGACTTCCAAAGAGACCAGCACATTCATCCAATAAGCGTGCTTTCACGGAGGCCCTGCCCAGTGCCAGGCAGGCTGTGGGCTGAGATGAGGAGATGCCACTGATGCTCTCCACAGACACATAAACAAAATCATGGCACAAGATTAGGGCTGTAATGGGGAAAGCTGCTGGTGGGATCACGGAGGGCTTCCTGGAGGAGGTAGCAACTGGAAAGTCATCAGATTCTCTCCCTGGATCTAAGCCTTATGTGAAAAACCACCTTCTGGTCATTCAGTCTCCCCACCGTGACCACCACTCACTGATATTCTAGGTTTCAACCTCACGACACCCCTCACACTTTTCAGAAAGGACTGGGTTCCCCCTAGCCTCCATGGCTCTGCACTTGCTGACTGCCCTTCCCCTTACAGGGAAAACTCTTACTCGGTCTTCAAAACCTAGCTGAGTTGTTATGTCCTCCAGGAAGCTTTCCTTGACAAACCCCCACCCCAAGAGTCTTTGGTTCTGTTTCCAGTTTCTCGCACAGCTCCTTGCCGCAATGACGCTTCTGTCATCTGTTTACACATCTGTCCCGTCTCCGGTTTGTGAGCTCTTTTGATTCAGAGACTCTGTCTTCTTTGTCATTGCTTTCTTGGTGCCAGGCCTTGTGCTGGGTAGAGCAGTATGTGACATGCTTCCGTGGGGCTCGGGAGGTCAGCTGTAGGATGCACAGCATTTATACGGTGCTTACTTCCCAACTAGCTTCACAACCCGGGGCGGCAGGCAGGGCAGGAGTGATACGGAAACAACGGGCCGTCTATGGAAAACCTGCCATGAGCTGAGCACCATGCCAGGCACTGGCAGGGGACATTTATCTGGGCTTCAATCAGCTGTGATTCTCAGTGCCTGGCACACAGAAATGTTGGGTGAATTCCGACGTGTGTCTGGGAGCTAAGGAAGCTTGACCAGTTTTCTAGGATTTACTATCGTCAGGTCCTGACCCCAGGTTGCTCCCAGTACAGCCCTCTGGCATGCCTTGGCAGATGGAAGAATCTGTCTTCGTGGGCAATGGCCTATTTCTGTAAGCTCTGCTGTCTGAGTCAATCCTCCCCCTTGTCCAAAAAATGCCGAGGATGCAGTCTGTTGTGTTAACGTCCCACTTGAGACATTTCTTTCAGTATCTAGAACCAGAAATTCGTCTTTCACCAAGAGTCAATCTCTCCCCCTTCTATCACATAACAAGAATAAAATGACCTCTTAGTGTGTGCTCTTTTCCTCTGGCTGCCGGGAAGCTCAGAGACAAATAATAGTATCACAGGGAGGAATCAGTCAGAGCATTTCCTTCTCGCCCCCATGTACGTGGCTTCTTTTTTTTTTTTTTTTAATAGAAAGGTTAGTTTTTTTTTTTAAGATTTATTTATTTATTTATTTATTTGAGAGAGAGAATGAGATAGAGAGAGAGAGAGAGAGCATGAGATCCAAGAGGGTCAGAGGGAGAAGCAGACTCCCCGCTGAGCAGGGAGCCTGATGCAGGACTTGATCCCAGGACTCCAGGATCATGACCTGAGCCGAAGGCAGTCGCTTAACCAACTGAGCCACCCAGGCGCCCTTAGCCACCCAGGCGCCCACGTGGCTTCTTTAATTGAAACTTTCCTGTGTTCTTTATGGGAAGAGCAGGCGTAAATACGCTTTATGTGAGAAGCTGTGGGAACTGGGAAAGGGCCCAGGTTTAAGCAGAAGGCTGGCGAGAACCCCTTGCTCTCTCTGAGCCCCAGGCTTCTCCTTGGCAGCCCCTGGATGAGAAGCTCTGCTGCTTTCCTCGTGCGGAGGCAGCTCTCCCATGAGGAGGACTGGCCACGGCCCAAGCCTCAGGGAGGGTCACGGTCAACACCCTCCCTGCTGAGGTTACGCGTTCATAACCTTGAACACTTTCACACTTCCAATCCAGTGTGGCCAGAAGCTTTATTTTTAAAGAGGAGTCAGAAAAAGAGATTTCTCATGTGAAATCTCCTGACTTAGAAATGTTGCCAATTAATTTTCATTTTTTCCCCCAAAATGCTGTGTTGGACAAACCAAACTTGGCTGCAGGCCAGATTTAGCCTGAGGCCCCTTCAGGCTCAGCCAGTCCAGCGTCCGGGTGGCCTGGGTGGGTTACTTCTCTCCATATTTGTTTCCTCCTCTGTAATATAACGTCCTCAGTCCCTCTATTTTCCTCCCAGCACCTGTTCCCTCCTTTAGGCAACTGCCCCTGCCCACACCCCACCTCCTCGGACCATGGCTGTCTCCGTCCCTGGCTCCAGTGGTGGGTACCAGAGCTGCCTGGCAATGGGGCACCCCATGCCCTGAGCCCAGGGGCTCTGGTGGGGGGGGCAATGGGAGTCCATCCCCTGAGCTTTTGCTGGAACAAGATGCCTGCTCCCCTCTGAAATCAAGGTACTAAGGGCTGTGGGAGCCTAGGACTGCCAGGGGAACTTGACCACCACGTGGGGAAAGTCTGCCTGGGAATGTAGCCCACACAAAGGAAACCAGGACTGAGGGAGACAGACAGACAGACAGACAGAGAGATGGCAGGTCCTGGTGACATCCTTGAGCACCAGGGTCCAGCCAAGCCTGAGTCTCAACCCAAACCCTTTTATTCCAGCTGATCTTCCTTTGGCGTCTTGGGCCTGGGCCAGGCTAGGGTGAGGCCAGAGAGGCCTCGAGGGCACAGAATTGAAGGAGGCACTTCAGTGTGAGCCCGAGGTGCCTCTCTGGCCTCACCCTAGCCTGGCCCTGCAACCCAGGCTATGCAAGACCTGGGTTTGCCCCATGGAGGAAGAGCAGCCCCAGCCCTCCAGGTGAGAGGAAGCAGCTGTTGCCTGCCCTCATTCCTTAAATGGGACATGTGCCAGAGCGAACCCTGCTCTGGAGTCAGGAGATCTGGTCCAAATCTCAGCCCGCTGCCCCGCATCCTCGGCTAACCCCTAAGACAATAGAATGGTACTTACGAGTGTCCCTGTGTTCTCCCTCTCTCAAGGAGGCGGACTTCTTAAATGGTCACACAGCCACCCAGCTAAAGAATATACTTCCCAGGGGCGCCTGGGCAGCTCAGTCGGTTAAGCATCTGCCTTCAGCTCAGGTCATGATCTCGGAATCCTAGAATCAGGCTTCCTGCTCAGCGGGGAGTCTGCTTCTCCCCCTGCCTCTGCCCCTCCCTCGGGCTTGTTCTCTGTCTCTCTCTTTCTCTGTCTCAAATAAATAAATAAAATCTTAAAAAAAAAATAAAAATAGGGGCGCCTGGGTGGCTCAGTCGTTCAGCGTCTGCCTTCGGCTCGGGTCATGATCCCAGGGTCCTGGGATCGAGCCCCGCATCGGGCTCCCTGCTCAGCGGGAAGCCTGCTTCTCCCTCTCCCACTCCCCCGGCTTGTGTTCCCTCTCTCGCTGTGTCTCTCTCTATCAGATAAATAAATAAAATCTTTAAAAATAATAATAAATAAATAAAATAAAAATAAAAGAATATATTTCCCTCCCCCATTGCAGCTAGACCTAACCATATGACGAAGTACTGACCAGTAGGATGTAAGGGGGTGGGGGTACAGCCATCACAGAGTGTTCCTCGAGGGAGGAGATGCACTTCCTTCCACCTTGCTGCCCTGGCTACAGATGAGCCCTCTGGATTTTGCCCCCTGGGGTCACATCCCAGGCACAGGGAAACAGCCACGGAGAAGCAGCAACTCAGGCCCCTGAACATGCGGGGACCTGGCCAACAGACCAGCTCCCGACAACCTCCCCATGAACTGTACTGTGAATGGGAAAGAACATTCTATTTGGCGTAAGGTCCTGTTGTTTTGCATCTCTGTGCCTGAATTCATATCCTAACTGGTACCTCACCCCATGTATTCCAGCTAACGGTTTTGGTTGTCCTGATTAGCGGGTGGGGGTGAGAGCTACTGGTCTCTAGTGGACGGAAACCGGAGATGCTCATTATCCCACAACACACAGGACAGCCTCCCACAGCAGAGAACGATCTGGGCCACAATGTCAATAGTGCTGCTGCCGAGAAACTGCTTTACCTACCCTGGAGACAGGTGTCCCCATCCCTAAAAAGGGGAATATTGCACTCTCATAGTTTTTTATGAAGATCCAATGAGATGACAGACATGATCCTCCCTTCAGGAAAGGAGAGAGTCCTGCAAAAATGGTCATGAAGTCTTTATTATTGCAAGAAACTAAGAGGGGAGCTCCAGAGGAGGAGAGTGAGGCTGGCTGCCAGTCACACAGGAGGAGGGCTCCCTGGTGGGGCTGGGGGGTGGGAAGGGGTGCTGGGGGCATGCAGTACCTGAAGGTGCGGTACAGGGCAGGGAGGGACTGGAGGGCAGGGGCCTTGGGGAAGGGGAGAGACAGAAAAGTCTAGCAGAGGAAGGGAGGTAGGAACTGCTCCTGGTGGTCTCCGGGGCTACTCACAAGCTCGCCCTATTCCACCACCTCCCACTCTGCCTCTCACACATACAGACCTGCATCTCCCCCTCCCCACATGCCTCTCCTCTCCCCCCAGACACTCTCTCTCTCTCTCACACACACACACACACACATACACACACCCTCCTTCCTCTTGGATCTTACCCCTCTGCCACCCCATCACACACTCTGATCAATGCCAAGCCTGAGTCCAGAGGGGTGGGACTGGGCTGGACCAAGCAGACGCCCCTCCAAATAGGGCCTTTTCCTTGGGTCCGCTTTGAAGTCGGCCGTGTGAAGCTGCAGGGTGGGTGCCTTGGGTGGCGGGGGCCGCTGAGCGTCACCAGGGATTCAGTGGGGAAGTGTGACTGTCGAGGTTCAGGACAAGCAGGGGCAGCGGTGCCTCCCTCCAGGTGAGGGGCAAGAGTGCTGGGCAGCACAAAGGCACTGGGGGTCAGTGGGGGATTAAACCCAGAGCCAAGGAGGGCAGGTGTGGGGTGAACTGGCTTGATGTGGAAAGCAAGCCCTGGGCCAGCAGCAGTGACACCTCAAGGTACCCAGGTGCCCCATCTCAACAGGTGCAGCCAGGGTCCACCCGGAGCGCCCGGAAGCCTCTGCTGGGAGGGTCCAGGAAGCAGAGGGATGGCCTGGAGGACCACGGGTTGTCCTCTCTCTGCCTCAGGGTCTCCAGGCTGGGCGAAGCAGGGGAGGGAGCCCGGTGCCCGCCACCGGCCACCGGCGCGGGTCAGCTCAGACCTCTGGTCCTCCGAAGGCCAAGTTGTCGCGGACCATCAGAGTCTTGCGGAGGTCACGGTCCACCAGGGGGCGCTGCATGCGCCATTTGTGCGCCTCCTGCAGGCCAGGCTCGAAGTAGTAGATGCAGGCGCCGAAGCCCACCAGGATGAGCACTGAGATGACCAGGTAGACGGGCACGAACCAGTCCAGGAAGTGCGGCATCGCGGCGGCCTCAGCTGCCGAGACAGGGCGGTGAGTGCTGGCGGAGGCGCCCTTCGTCCCACCTGCCAGCCTGGAGGGACACGCGCGGGCTTCACAGAGCCAGGAGGTCCCAGCATCCCCTTGCAGATGGGAAGGCTGAGGCCCAGGAGAGTGGCGTCCGCCCCCTGCCCCGGACCGAGAACAGAGCTGCCCCCATCACAGGGACCCACCTAGCTCCTACTCACCCTTCAAGAAGGCAGCTTGTAGCTGAGGGCGGGACCTGGCTCAATCCCTCTGAGGCACAGGTGCCCTCAGGCAAGATGCCTAAACTCTGCTCTCAGCATCTTTGTCCCCTGTGAGGAGGGGGGCACGGACAGAGCCTAGTGGGGATTCAGAGCACTCAGTAAAGTTCAGCTGGGGCCATGCCTCCTCTGAGCCACCCCTCCGGGCCCTGACCGCACAGTTGCAGATGCTGCCGCTTGCCAGACCCTCACAGATGAGTGGGTCCCCAGCCACCCGCACATCCTGGCCGGGTGTGGCTTGGTGAAAGCGAGCTGAACCAACACCCATCCCCAGGGGATTGGGTTGATGTCAACAGGGTCTGCACAGGCACCCGAAATTCAGGCCCACGCCCAATTTCATAATTATAAGACTGTGAACACAGGCACCAGCCCAGAAAACTTGGGCCTCGGGCTTCCACATCTATAAGGTGGGCCTGAAGATAGCACCTGGACCGCGGCGCTGCTGTGACCATTAAATGGGTTAATTTATGTAAAATACTCAGAATTAGTGCCTGGCCCATAGTCCATGCTACATAGTTCTTTGTTCTTACTCTCTGAGCCTCAGTTTCCTTATCTGTAAAATGGGGATAGAAGTAGGATCCATTTCTTAAGGTCACTGTGAATGTTTGACAAGATAAGGCCTGAAGAGCATTTAGCAGCATGCTGCATGGCCCAGAACCAGCCTTTGTGTTACCTGTTGTTATTTCCAGCCAACCAGAGGCAGGAAAGCAGAAACACGGAAGTTAGCAGGCATAAGGTGCTTCACGAACGTTACATATACCCAGACCCCTTAGAATGGCCCAAAGTTACCCACCGCTGCGCTCTGCCAACCTCTCCAGCCTCCTCTCCCAGCCCATGTGCTGTCACATGGAACTGCTCATCAGTCACCTGTGGGTCATACAATCTCCATCTTTCATAGGATGGAGATAAGCTTTTCATTTTCATTCTCCCTGGGATGTCCTTTGGACTGTGTTCATGGGGCAGGCTCCTACGCATCCTTCAAAAGCCAGATCACAGACCATCTCTTCCAGGCATGGGATAAAGTAGGACCCAATTTAACCCACCCTCAAATCCTTCCTGAGGAGTAAAAAAGGGGGAAGGGTGAGGAGCCCCACCTCTGCCTTCCAGGCAGGGAGAGCCCTATTAAGATGTGTTCACAAATCACAAGGCCTATGGGGTAGGTGTTACTGTCTACATCTTACTGAGGCCCAGAGGGGTTCACTACCCTGCCCCAGGGTTACCCAATTGGAAGGTGACTAAGAGCTGGGCTCCAAGCCCCCAGAGATGTCCTGAGGTTTGAGTCCTCCAGGGTGGGTAAAGACACCTGAGCAGAATGAAATGAGCAGAGGCCCACCTTGGCTTCTGGGGAAGTTAGAAAGGGGATGAGAAGCCTTGGCTTCTCAGACCTCTGTCTCCAAACTCCAGCCTCTCTCATCATACTACTTCCACGTGGGTCTTCAAGGTGGGCCGTGACCCCCGGGGGAGAGAGATGCTGCTTCCCAGTCCCGCATCCATCCCAATGCCTGCCCCTGCCCCCCCTGCCCCCCCGCCCCAGGGTCCCCACTGGCCGCTCTGAAGCACGGACAGTGTCTCAAGGTGCCCTACTCATGGAGAAATAAAATGAAGAGTGCTTAGCCGTGCTCTCCTAACCATCTGCCTTTCTGGAGAGCCGAAGAAGAGAGTTCAAAATTGCTTTGGTGCAGCTGGGTTGAGGGGAAGTCAGGAAGAGGGGACGCCAAGCAGGAAGGCTGCTCCAAACGAACCTGACTGAGGCCAAAAGATTCATGCCTCACCCTTGGCTGCAGGCAGGACCCCAGTCCCCTTGCAGCTTAAACAGGAGAATGAGGGACTTGAGCAGAGCTGAAGCCACTCGGGCTGCAATGGTGTGGATCTATGGAGCACAGTTTAGAGTCTCCCAACCTCTCCAGCCCTGTGAACAAAACCCCAGGCATTCCCCGGCAGACTGAGGACCCCTAGACCTTCTCCTGGATTCTCGGGGGACGCCCAGCTGAAACAAATCACTCGCTGGCCTTCTGCGTGACCTCGGGCCGCACCTCACCCCCTCTGGGTTTCAGGGTTCCCCATGCACTGTGACAAGGTGGGAGAGGGGGTTACCAGATGATCTATGAGGAATTTTCCAGCCCCATTCTAGCCAAAGGACAGTGTGAGGGTTGTAGAGCCCCGCTGCCTGCCTCCCAAACCATTGGCAGCCCTCGGTGCCCCCTCCCCCCCCCCCCCGCATGCCCGCAGACCCACCTCATGCCCTGCAGATGCCTGTTCCGGGGGCTCTTTGGGGAGCTCATCACCTCAGCCTGAGCAGCTCAGTGTCGGCCTGCAGACTCAGTCGCAGCTGCTGTCCCCAAAGACACTGCCATCTGCAGCCGCCATGGGAGCTGGAGGCAGAGAAAGGGCGAGGCCAATGTCCCCGGTGGGAGACTGAGCCTCTCAGGCCCCGGGGCTCTGACTGACCAGGAGGGGGCAGTCTTACGCTGGCAAGGCACACTGGTACCTCTCCCTGCCCATCTGAGACCCTTCCCTCTGCCCCCCACCCTCAGGATGGCGGGAGGCGGGACGTGTCTCAGCCAATCAGCAGACTGGCAGAGCAAGGGCTTTATCCTCCGTTGCCGTGGCAACCAGCCTTCTCTTCTGGATCCCTCGCACTGTGCACGTGGTACAGAAATGACAGTCAGGGCAGGGTTGGGAGAATTCGGGGAGGGACGGGAACCACCCAGCAGACTGCTGGGCCCCATGTTTGCTGAGCCTGGAGAGGAGGAGACCCCAGCTGAGATAAATGGAAGGGCGTGGAGGCTTGCGGTTTGCAGGAAGGGAGAGATGAGGGTCCGCAGCAAGCGGGTAAGGACCCAGAAGTCGTGACTAGTAGAGTCAGCGAAAGTCATATGCTGTAGAGGAAAGAACCAAGACTGAGCCTGAGACTCTGGACGCATTGGTCCAATGTAGACACTGCTTTCAGTGCTTTATTCATAGTAATTCATTTATCCGTCATCCAAGGTCACACAGCAAGAAAGTGACAATGCCAGAGTCAGAGCCCTAGCCTGGCCTTCAGGGCCCCACACAGGGGCTGCCTTTCCAGCTTCTGCCTCACCAGCCCCACTGTTCCCCTGGCTGGGGTATAGCCTCAGATGGTTGTGACTCCCAGGCACTGAGCATCCCCACATCCCAGGCATGGCCCCACACACCATTCCGTCCGTCCTCCAGCTGATTGATGTTGAGAGCCCATCTGGGGATGAGGCAGCTACAGCTCAGAGAGGTGATGCTGCTTACCTTCTCCTTCCTCTAGGTCACCCAGCTCCTCAGTGACAAAGCCAGGGAGTGGGGGTGGGGTAAGGGGCCCACCTCCCAAGCCCGGGTCTTCCCTCCTGTGCTATAGACAGAGTGTCAGCAAAGTGCCAGGCACCCAGTGTGCATTCTGTAAACATCAGTGGTGATTGTCTCAGAAGACGGAGCAGCCCCAGAGGCCTATGGGGCAGGAAAGAGGCTTTGAGGAAACACCTCCCCAGGGAGTCCATTCCCAGAAACCTGAGAACGGGCAGGTGGGAAATGCCGTGGGGAGAGATGGCTTAAGGACCCCCACCCCACAGATACCCTGCCAGCTCTGGGACCATCCAGACCCCTGCAAGGGTGATGAGTCCTCTCCAGCATATATAGGGCAAGGGGAGTGAGTTTGCATTCACAGGGGGATTTGTAATGAGACCGAGTACATATTTAGTAAAATACAAATCTTAAGTGATGAATGTTTACCTGTGTATACAGCTGTGATCAATGTTTAAGAGATTTGTATCTCCCCAGACTGTTCTCTCCTGCCTGTTGCCAGTCAATACCCCCTCCCCAAAGGTACCCACTGATTTCTATCACCATAAATTAGATTTTCCTGTATTTGCATTTAATGTAAATGGACTCATATAATATGTACTTTTGTGTCTGGCTTCTGTCACTCAACACAATGCTTTTGCTACTCAACCGATGTTGCTACATTGATCAGTGTACCACAACTGGTTTATCTGTTGACCACTGAAGGACATTTGGGGTGTTTCCAGTATGGGACTATTGTGAGCAAAGCTTCAACAGTCTGGAGTGGGAGGACAGAGAGGAGTTGGGGGAGGGGCACGGGGAAACTTTCGGGGTTATCGGACATGTGCATTTATAGACTTTAACTATGCGTAGCTTATCCTATGTCAATTATACTTTGATACAGCGGAAAAAAATATGATCAATGGCCTTTAGATATTGTTTTAGCCACATGATTCTTTATTCACACACATTTGGGAAGCTCAATATATAATAGAGGTAAAGCCTGAGCTGCTTCTGTTAAATAATGGGGTGGGGTTTCTGGACACTACCCATGCAGCTTCCCCTTGTCCCTTACAGTATATCCCTGAAGCATCTCCCCAGAGCTCCACAGAAGCCAATTTGAAAAACACTATCCCAGATGGTATCTGATGGCCCTGCCCGGGTGTTCTTGATATAAGAATCTCCAGGCCTGGGTCTGGTCTTCCTGCCCATGCCCACTCTTCATCGCAGTACGGATCCCACACACAGCTCTTTTCTATTGCACTGCCCAGGTGACAAGCACCAACTCACTTTCACTTCTAGGCCAACAGTCACCTCCCCAGCCAAGTGTAGTGGTGGCTCCCCAGGGACACTTCATGCATTTGGGCTCCCCCTGCTTCCTGGGGTGGCTCTCACCAACTGTGCGGCTGTGGTTGTTGTAATCTGTCCATCTGCCACTGAGCAGGGATGGCACCTCTGGCCTGGCCCGAAGCAGGCACTCAACATATGCTGATTGAATGGGTCTCAGCCCAGCCCCTTCTAGAAAGTGCTACTGGGGCCAGAGTCAGTCACCTCTGCAGCCTCCTCTCTCCCCACTTTCACCTCACGCCATCTGTTTCAGCCCCTGGCCTCCTCATTGCTCCTCAGAAGCCTCGGGGATACTCCCCTTCAGGCTCTTAGCATTTGCTGCTCCTTCTGCCTGAAACCTCTTCAATATACTTAACTGGCTCCTCTCTCGCTGAATTCAGGCATCTGCTCAAACATCACCTGCTTACAGAGTTCTCCCCTGACCTAAAGTAGCTTCTTCCTGTCTGTCTCTATCCCCCAGGTCGCCTTACTTTATGTTCAGAGTACTCATTACCATCGGACTTTGGGGGAGTCCCCTCCATACCCCTGGCAGGAGGAATCCAAGCCCGTCTGTGATGGGGCAAGAACTCCACGAAGCCATGTACTTCCAGCTCTTTCTAAGCAAGATACAGTTTGGTCTGCAGTGAGAAGGATGTAGGTTAGACAGGGAGCATGCCTCTGCCCTCCCTGACATCACAGCATGGACACACTGTGTGATCAGGATTTGGCTCCCCCACTCCAGAGTTGATACACAATGTCTGATTCATCTGTATTCTCAAGGTGGGACGAAGGGTCTGCCCTAGGAAATGATGAAAGAATCCCTGCTGAGAATTAATCAATGGATGTAAATCAATCCATTCATTCAACAAATAATTACTGAGCAACTACCATGGGCCAGGCACTTTTTAAAGAGCTGCACATACAAAATGACAAAGTCTCTGCTCTCCTGTGTCTTATGTTGTAGCTGGAGAGACAGACAATGAGCAAGGAATCATATAACTGTTGGGAGAAGCAATGGGCCATGGGCCCTGCACATCCCTGCGGGTTCCTGCTGGGAATGCCAAGAGAGCAAGGCCCTCAAAGCTCTCTACCCAGACTATTTCTCAGGGTTGTGTTTGCAGCAAGCAACCGTGAGGGAGGAGGTGACATCTCCCCCCACCCCAACAAAGAACAGGTATGCCTACCACTTGCTATTAAAGCGGCGAATCTCCGGGCGCCTGGGTGGCTCAGTCGTTGGGCGTCTGCCTTCGGCTCAGGTCATGATCCCGGGGTCCTGGGATCCAGCCCCGCATCGGGCTCCCTGCTCAGCGGGAGGCCTGCTTCTCGTCTCCCACTCTCCCTGCTTGTGTGCCCTCTCTCGCTGTCTCTCTCTCTGTTGAAAAATAAATAAAAATCTTAAAAAAAAAAAGCAGTGAATCTCTAATCCCTGCGTTCCTCTTCTATACTGCCATCCATGAGTTCTATAGGGCTCCATGGTGGGTCCTTTGCAGGGCTCGGGGGACATGGGGTACTGACACAAACACATGTAAAGTCCCTGCTACTGTTTTTACCATGAGTAATAGGAAACAAGCTAGACAAAATCCTTTGTCTCTTACTCAGGAGTTTCATCCATGAAACAGTAACACACTATTACTAAACAGTAATAAACAGTAACAGTTTATTAGTTTGTAAATACTGTACAATCTCCGAGGCTGTACAGTTCCTGACCACATGTGAAGTGGAGATTAGTGCTGTTGAGAAAAATAGAGCAGAAAAAGGAAGACAAGGAGCATGGGGGAGGGGCGCCTGGGTGGCTCAGTTGGTTAGGCAACTGCCTTCGGCTCAGGTCATGATCCCAGGGTCCTGGGATCGAGCCCCGCATCGGGCTCCCTGCTCGGCGGGAAGCCTGCTTCTCCCTCTCCCACTTCCCCTGCTTGTGTTCCCTCTCTCTCTGTCTCTCTCTGTCTCTCTCTGTGTCAATTAAATAAATAAAATCTTTAAAAAAAAAAGGAGTATGGGGGAGACTTGATATTTTTTAAAGACAATGGAGGTTTTCTTTGATAATTTATTATTATTATTTTTAAGTACACTCTACCCCCAAGGTGGGGCTTGAACTCACAACCCCAAGTTCAAGAGTGGCATGCTCAACCAACTGAGCCAGCCAGGCTCCCCAAGACTTGCTATCTTAGATAGGATTGTTAAGAATTCCTAAGGCCCCTCTAAGAATTTTTTTAATTAAAAAATAAAAATTAGGGGCGCCTGGGTGTCTCAGTCCGTTAAGCAACTGCCTTCAGCTCAGATCATGATCTCAGGACCCTGGGATTGAGCCCCATGTCAGGCTCAGCTGAGAGTCTTCTCCCTCTGCCCCTCCCCCTGCTCATGCTCTATCTCTCTAAAATAAACAAAATCTTAAAAATAAAAAAATTTTTAAAATAAAAATTAATAAACATTTAAAATATTTTTAAAATAAAAATAAAATTAATAGATAAAATTTTAAAAATAAAAAATATCTTTTTAATGAAAAGAAAGGCCCCTCTGATAAGGTGGCGCTGGAGCAGAAACGTGGACAAAGCGAGAAAACAAGCCAAGTGACTATTTGGGAGAAGAGATTTTCAGCCACAGGGTACCACGGGGACAAGGCAGGAAGTAGGAGGATACTTGGAATATCTGAAGAACAGCCTAGTAGTGGCCGTGTGACCAGAAGAGTGTAAAAGGGAGAAGAGCAGCAGAGGAGGTTGGGGAGTTTGTCAGGGATCAGAACGCATAGAGCCTCAAAGTCCATGTAAGGCATTTGCAGTGTACTCTGAATAAGGTGGGAACTGTCGGTGGGGTTTGATCAGGTTTTTTTTTTAATTAATTATTTAATTAATTTATTTATTTATTTATTTATTTATTGTTCTGTTTTAAAAAGGACGACTCTGGGTGGCTCCGTAGTTAAGCGTCTGCCTTCGGCTCAGATCGTGATCTCAGGGTCCTGTGATCGAGCCCCGCATGGAGCCCCGTATCGGAGCCTGCTTCTCCCTCTCCCACTTCCCCTGCTTGTGTTCCCCTCTCTCGCTGTGCCTCTGTCTTTTTTAAAAAAAAAAAAA